CAAGACTGGTGGACGATTTATCAGCAATCTGCGTTATGCAGATGACAAAACCCTGCTTGCTGAAACTGAAGAGGACCTGAAGCGCCTGCTGCACAGGGTCAAGGACTGCAGCCTACAATATGGATTGAGGCTCAATGTCAAGAAGACAAAAAGATTCTCACCACTGGACCAATTGGCAGCATCAGGATGGATGGTGAAGAGATTGAGACTGTACACAGCTTTAGTTTGCTTGGATCTGTAGTCAACAGTCTTGGCACCAGCAGCCAGGAAATTAAAAGGCGCATTGCGATGGGAAAGCCTGCTGTTAGGGACCTCTCCAAAGTACTGAAGAGCAATGGTGTCTCTCTGGAGACTAAGGTGCGTTTGATACAGGCCATGCTCTTCGCAATCACTTGTTATGCATCAGAGAGTTGGACAATGACCAAAGAGGATAGAAGGAGAATTGATGCCTTTGAGCTGTGGTGCTGGAGAAGAGTATTGAGAGTACCATGGACTGCTAGAAAAACAAACAGATTCATCCTGGAAAGGGTTAAACTGGGTGGCTCCTTGGAGGCAAGGATTCTGAGGCTCTGTCTAACATACTTTGGACATGTTGTGAGGAGAGACCGGTCCTTGGAGAAGGATGTCATGCTTGGGAGGGTAGAGTGACGGTGCAGGAGAGGAAGGCCCTCTATGAGGTGGATTGATTCAGTGACTGGGATAATCAGGATGGGAGTGTCAGAGACAGTGTGATTGGCACAGGACAGAGCAGACTTTAGGGCTGTTGTACATAGGGTCACTATGAATCACAAGTGACTCGACGGCACATAACAACAACAACAACAACAACAACAGCTTCATTTTGCAGAGTTCACGGAAGCATAGTGAGATAAAGTTTTGTCTTAGAAAAGGAAAATAATGAAACCTATTTATTGCACTGAGTCAGTTGAAACGTAAAGCATCCAAACATGAGAACAAGACAGAAATGTCCCAGAGAGTTTGCAAGGCTGTAATATTCATAGGAATGCAACATGGTTTAAAACTAGAAAAGATGTGCAGCAGGTTGTATCTTTCACCACGTTGTTGTGGTGTACCACTGAGTCGGAACTAGTCCATAGCTGACCCTTTGGTGGGTTTTCTGAGGTGGTTAAGCACATGGGAGGGGACTGGCCATCCTTACCCGTGGAACAGCTGGTGGCCTCGAAATGTGTGCCTTTAGAATTGCAGTGCAGCTTCTAGCCATTAGGCCACCAGGGCTCCCTATCTTTCACTTTATCTATTCAGTTCGCGTGAACAAATAATCCAAGAAGCTGGACTATAAGAGAGTGACATCAAGATGGGATATGCAGCTCTCAGGACCCCGCTTGCAGAAAAAGAAAATGACCTGAAGTACTTATGGAAAACTCACAAAGATCAAAGTCTTCCGTATGGATTACAGCTCAACATAATGAAAACAAGAATCCTCCAGACTGAACACCATGATAGATGAAGAAAAGACTGAGCTTTTCCAGGATTTAATTTCATTTGGATCCACAATCAACACCTATGAAAACAGCAGTCAAGAAAGCAAGAGATCTCCTGCAAACGTGCTGTGAGGGCCGAAGGGCTAAGGAGCAAGCATGTCATTGTAAAGATGAAGTTGCACCTGATCCAAGCCATGGGGCATTCTGTTGCCTCAGATGCATGTGCACGCTGGACAATGACGAAGGAACACCAAAGATGAAGCGATGTCTTTGAACTGTGGTGGTGACACATGACACAGGAAACACCATGGATTGCCGAGAACACCAATAATCCCTCACAGGGAGAAGAGCAGCTGGGTGCTCCTTGGCATCAAGGTTGTGAGGCATCACGTGCTCCGGGTGTGCTGTCAGGAGGGCATGTGTGGACACGATGCTTGGAAAGGTGGAGGGTCAGAAAGCTGAAGGTGGTACCCACGGAGAGGACAGACACAGTAATCGCAACAATGGGTTTGAGCACAGTGGAGACTGAAAGGATCAGTCAAGGCTGCATCTGCCATATGCAGGGTCACCGCATCAGCGTCGGCTCCACGGCACTGGAGCAACAGGAGTTTTGGCAGCAGGCTGTTTCTCCTTTCCCCTCTGAGTCTGCTGCTCGAATTCAATGGCCGGCGTTTAGTTAGCATCCCAGTGCTTAATTACTGTACCACCAGCCTTCCAAATTTTCAACATAATTTAAAATCAACTGCAACTAAATAGCTATTTAACCTTGAATTTAGAAGAATAAAGGGCAAACTGATCATTCATTCATGTAATCTTTCATTCACTGTTTGGAAGACTTGCTATGTGCGAGGTACTATGGGCAGAACAATAATGAACTCAGGCCTTTCCAATTCTGGAATTTACTCTTTATTTATGATAATCAAGTTTTAAAGGTACTAATTAAAGTAGCTCTGCTTCGAAGAATGTTGCTTTGTCATAGTGAAATGGAAAACAGGTAAAGTATAAGGCCAGTTTGACTTTAATGAAAAGTAAAAAGAATAGAATACTGGCAACAGAATTATAGTTTAACTCTCAAGTATCTACAAGCTCTTAAAACTCATGAAGTATCTTTATAAAAGATGCTTAGAACTAATTGAATGAAACATAAAGATTAATCAAACTAGCAATTGTTAATTTATAAATGAGCAGTTCTGAAATATTAAAAGCTAGTTTCTTTAAATAAGGCAAGCATTCAGGATTATGGTGTGTGTGTGTGTTTTTCACAAGAAACCACCTAGCAATGTCAGTATCTGTGGTTATCATCAGTGTCATTCTTTTTCAATTGATTATAAAGCAATGGAGATTTGAATTAATGGGATTAGGCCTATAACTGCTGCAGTGTATCGTCTCTGCGCTGGATGGTAATCAGAACTACACTTGTGATTTATAGTACCACAGTATTTTATAAGGGCCATTATGTTATTAATTAGTTACATTGATCAGAATACCACAGGAGATAACAGCACTGAAATATTATAATTTGCTTAGAGTTCTTCGCATCCCTTAATCTATCCACATGTATTATAGGTTTACCATGAGCAGAACTGTTAGCGAGCTACCATGAACTCCACATGTCAAGATAGGAACTTCAGAGGCGAAAGAGAGAGGAAGGTTCTTAACAGTGGAATCCACTTAAGTTCTTTATGTTGTTGTTGTGCACCATCCAGTCGGAGCTGACCCTGAGCTGATGCTCTGCGGGCTTTCGGAGGCCGTTAATCAGAGGGGAGGAGACTGAACATCCTTCTCCCTCTGGCGGGATTCCTAAGTGCGTACCTCTGGGACTGCAGCCCGGCTTCTTGCCACTAGGCCATCAGAGCTCCCTGATACACCATAAAACTAGTTGATTCAGGAAAAGGGCATAAAGTCAGGATTTCTAGGGAACTAATAGTCAATTACTATCCTTGGTGCCAGCAGTCAGGAAATAAGGAGACACACACACTGCAATGGGAAAGTCTGCAGTCAGGGACTGTTACAAATTATGGAGGAGTAACGATGTCAGTTTGAGGACTAAGATGCTTCTGATTCAGGCCTTGGTCTTTCTGATCACTTGTTATGCATCTGAGAATTGGACAATGAACAAGGGTGACAGAAGAATTGACACCTTTGAGCTGTGATGTTGGAGAAGAGCACTGAACATCCCATGGATGGCCAAGAGAACAAACAGATATGACTTCAAGAGGGTCCAACTGGAGTGTTCTTGGAGGTGAGAATGATGAGGCTTCACCTCACATACTTTGGGCATGTAGTTAGGGAGGGGCTATTCCTAGGAGAAGGATATGATGCTGGGAAGGGTGGAGGGTCGGTGAAGAAAACAAAGACCCTCAACCAGTTCACTGACATGGTGACTGCTGCAGTGGGCTCTTAGGTGTCACGAAGTGTGAGGATGGCGCAGGATAGAACAGGGTTCAGACCTTTGTTCAAAGGGTCACTGTGAGTCTTACTTGACTCAACAGCATCTAACAACAACAATCTTATTATGCCACTATACATTTACATGTATAAATGTAGGGTTCTGCGTTGAAATCTGTCACTTTTTACTTGGACTTGCTTTGTGGGTTGGGCTATGATGAGATGCTGCTGGTAAGCATGTTTGAAAGCTACCATACTCAAACATTCGGATTCCAGCAGGCCTCAGTTTCCAAAGCGTTGCTGAGAGTGCAGTCCACCCCACATTACAATATCGAGAGTTTTTAGATTTAGACAACAAATCTAAAATTGAAATTATTTTTACAAACATTATTAAGGCTACAACTCAGAAATGAAACAGTTACTCAGCTAATTAGGTAGCAAACTAACAAGACTGTCAGTCAAAGCCAATCTTCGACTCAACACAGAGAGCCGATTTGCTGTAAACTCTTACCACATACACAACAGTACACGTGAAGCTAGTGGGAGAGAAGACATTTACACTCACATAAACCACAGGTGGCAAACTACAAGGGGGAGAAAAGTTCATTAGGGAAGACAAAAAAATGGTTTGTATTTAATTACATAACACTTTTTTGCGGGGGGGGATGTTAAATGTTTTTAAGAGAAAAGAACAAAGACATGACCCATAAAAAGTAAGACGGGAAGTTCTTAGTTTAACAGTTACTTCTGACATTTCCGGTTATATTATTCATTAACAGTTGCTTTTTTTTTTTTTTTTGCTTTATTTCTAAATTTGGCTGACAAACAGTGTTTTAGCCATCACTCTTAAAATACCGCCAGAAGTTGAATCTGTTTCTACAATTTATCTGACTTATATCTTTATAGTGAACAAGTTATGCAGATAACTTCTCCATTTCCCAGACGTGTAGCAAGATGCCTATGAATTAACTTGAGGCCGTCAAACATTAGCACACAAGATGTTCAAAGCAGAGTGGCATGGTCACAGTGCAGGTCCACTCTGTGGCCTGAGGTCCCCTTGAATACATCTGACTACACCGCGTGTTCTATCCAGGGGTAGGGAGGACCACGCCTCACCATCCTAACCACCATGGTTGCTGTGGAAACAACAGAAAGAACACATGCTAATACCTTCCTCCTTTCTTCTTCTAGCTTCTTCCTCATTTCTCTCTTTGGCTTTCAATGCTTCATCCGCTTTTGCTAAAAAAACAAAAATAATAACATTTCTACATTAATTTATGCTGATATTGCAAGTGAAAATACAAAGGATAGGGGTGGGTTGTTTTTTTTTTTTTTTTTTGTAATTTTGGTTTTTCCTTCCAAGTAGCTAGAAAAAAAAATAAATAAGGAGGGTGAAAATCTGAACTATTCAAATTAGAGTATGTATTAGGAATGGTTATTTAGGATATTTGCTTAGAATCTTTGATATTTAACGCAGGCTAATCAAGTGTATCAAACAGAAATTCTTTTAAGAATCTAAGTTTAAATGATGGCATTTCAACTGGAAAATTGCTGAGATCTTTTAAAAAAATCATCTGATTTGTCAGTGCAACTGTATACATTTTAAAATTGGAAGGACAATTCTTAAGCTAGAGTTCACATTTTAAATATAAGAAGCTTGTAAGATCCATGGAACAGTTTCAAATTAAGTGGCATATTATTTTATTTTTCATTGCACATCATGGTAGCCGTTCGTTATTCATGTTATGACAGCATTTGGTAAAAGGCTCCTTTTCCCTCTAGAAGCCTCTTCCCTTATTACTTAATTATCTACTAGTTGCTCAACTGCAGGGGTTTTCAAACACTTTCCTACAGATGTTAAAGAAGATTAAAAATATACAGCACAGTAACAAGGGAATATCAATATACTCCGTAAATTAATTAAATTTCTGTTCTAGCACATCATTTATTCCAAAGCATTAACGTCTCAAAGGAGCGATTCTCCTTTATTGCCGTCTCACTGGCTGATGAGTGAACTCAGTGAAAATAAGTCTCTAATAGCATTATAGTTGATGAAACATTAAGTTAAAAAAGTACTGCCTCGTCAGAAGAAAACGAATCAAACCATGCCAGCATTAAACTCTGGATGAGTCTTTATTATAATAATAACAGCAATGTAAACTGTGATTTGAAAAATAAACATACTTACGCCTCAATTTTTTGCTACGTATATTTTTCCTATATAAAGTCAACATACCATTTGGAAGCACAAATTCTGACTCAGAAGGAGAGTTTAAAGAAAATACATGCCACATACATAGTTATTTTTCTTTCAAGTATGATTTTTCTTCCCCATCAATACTGACACTTTCTTAAAATATAAAATTGATATAATGGTGTTATGAAGTGCTATATCCAATTACACAGACATCTGTTTCCATTTACAAGCTTTTATACACACTTAGACTGCATTTAAAGTCATGAAATATTAAAACTTTTATGCCATTCTGTATCATTGCAAGAATCTATTAAATTAGATAATAAAAACAAACCACCAGTAACTCTAAAGACTTTTACTTCATTTACACTTTATTCTCCCTGGTAGAAGGACAAGGATAATAGAAATTCCATTTAAATTCAATTTTGGTTATATGTGTAATTGTAGATATACCCCTTGAGTCATGTAAAATGCTCAGCTTATGTTTCTTTCAAATTATCCCGCTCAGATTCACATTCGACTCCTTACAACCGTCTTCAATATGTATTAGCAGAGCTCATTAGACTGAAATTTAATAATGCAAACATCAGGTGGATTTCAAGAACCTCCATTAACAACGTAAGATGGATTGCTTATATATAGCTCTTGGGCCAACTGGGCACAATTTAAATTCAATAAACTACCCTGCCTAAATCTGATTTATCTATTTCACTATGCGGGTTTGTCCTTTCTTACTGATTTGCTGCTATACATGGACAATTCATTGGAATACTGTTTTATGCTTTTTATTTTTTCAAACTGCAAATGGCTCTAGCACTATGGTTAAGTCTTTTATGTAATTTAGCTTTATGCTGTCAGTCAAGATCACCAAGTATGTTCGTGTGTATGTGTACATGCTGATGTGGGGGTGTGTGTCTTTATCTGTATACAAAATATTTTTATTAATACTGAAATAGCACAGATAATAATTTTAAAAGCATACTTTTGGAAATACTATCAATAGTCAATACATTTTATAAAAATATTATTTGAAGAGAATTCATTTATTCAAATGAAATCATTAGTATAAACTTCTTATTGACTATTAAGGGATTCTAAAAGATATGTCACCCTGGTTGATTTATACTAGTATGATTTAAATGAGAATAAAGAATTTGTAGTCATTCATATGTAATTTAGTTTTTCCTGTCATTTTCACAGTTGGTTAAAGGTAGGTTTTCCATTTTACAAATGGAGATACTGAATCTCATTAGAATCAACTTGACTCATTGTGGAGCCAAAACTGACTCGCAGCTGCCCCTCTGGTGGGTCTTCGGAATCTGTAAATCTGTAAATGACCTTGGAGGAAACTATCCGCCCTTGTCCCCTGAGCTGCTGGTGAACCTGAGCCACCGACCGCCAGCGCCTAGGCGTCAGCATGTGAGTGTCCGCGGACTAGCGCCAGCTGAGGCACTGCATTTCAGCCAGACTCGGTAATCCACCGTCATTTCTCTTTGAATTGATCACGTTTTACCTAAGGTACGTGACTTCCCAGAAGTGCTTACGTTGTCTCGTAACTCTGCATACAACGTGCAATCACTTGCTTTTAGGTGCCATTCAAACCTGTCAGCTGTGCAGAAGGATGGGCAATCTCTTCCCGGGCTACTGACTGGCTCCGAAAACCCGCCTGAGGGTCGCCGATGAGTCGGTCCCAGCTCGCTGGTACAACAACAACAATGTACAACAGGATGAAACACTGCCCCGGACTCACCTCCTCTGTGCGAATCTATCTCACTTCACCAAGTGCGCTGTCTGGGACTGGGCCCTCGTGGTAACATGTCCGAAGTATATGCGAAGTCTGAAAACCTGACTGTTGCAAACTGCCCAGGTGAATCCCTTCTGGGATGCTCCCTTTCCTACCCAACCTGGGCTCCCAGATAGCCATTTCCGTTCCATGGTCACGGTGATGCTTGTTGGGAGGTGTCTATCTGTTGATGCCAACTCTCAGTGGCCCAGGTGTGCAGGCAGAACTGTCCTGTGGATGCTCTAGGCGGAAATGACTACAGGAGGGCCCTCGACTGGCACACCCACAGGGAAGCAGTGCCTCTGCGGTGGCTTTGAGAAGCCAGGCAATCTTTGGTGTGATTTATGGCCTTGGGACCCCAATGGACAGTCAACTAGGAGGTGGTTCGAGCTATAAGACCAAGAGATTTTGATCGCCAGGTTCCCTGAATGAGTTATAAGGAACTCATGCAATATTATTCAAAATGGATGACCCTGGAGAACATTATGCTGAATGAAATATCTCAGTCACAAAAAGACAAATACTGCATAGTGCCACTGTTGTAGAATGGGACTGACACCAGGGTGGGGGTAAGACTGAGAAAAACTGGATAAATTATGTATACTGCATTGAAACAGATGAGGGAGAGAACAGTTTAAAAGTGATATATGATAGCGTATTATGGTTATCATAAGAGTCCAGAATGAAGGCTGCACAGTGGAGTGTACTTGAGGCGGGAGTGGAGGGTGGGGGATTGCATACCAATGAAGGAATTTTTCTTTTACTTTTCAAAGAGGAGAGCGAACCGGGGGGGAGGAGTGGGCAAGAAGAAAAGTGCAGCAATGAATACATGGAAATCCCAAATCTCTGTAAACGTTCATTAAAATGAATAAATTTTTTTTAATAAGTGCCAAATGGTCTGTTAGCAGTCAAAAGTTTAATGAACACACCCTCATGGCTCCCTTCCAAGTTCACTAACATCCTCATGCCCCTGATACTTCAGTTTTACTAATGTTGTTGATTGCTGTCAAGCACGAATCATAGCGACCGTATGAATGAAAGGTCTGAAGCCTTTCTATAACTATCATCATTTAGCAAAGTTCATAGAGTTTCCAGAGACATGTTGTTTAGAAAGCAGATGTCTTATGTGGCCTTTCCTTTTTTCTTTCCAATTTGGGTAAAGAGGCTCGCTACAAGTAAGTGGATGAACACCACTGGTTCTACTGAAAAGCAGTGATACAAGAATCTGCACAGATTTTTCTATGTTACTCCTCCTTAGTCAGCACCGAGATGTGGCACCCAATCTCACACCCTCTAGTTCATTATCTGTTCTTCACTACAAATACCACCACTCCTCACACAGCCCCCTGAACTCCTTTAACCTTCCTCAGCCTTGTGCCTAACCCTTCCAACCTCGGATGTTAATCTTATTTCAGAATGAACAACCATCTGCTTGTCCTTTGGCACTTAATCCTTTTCACGTCCTTCAGTGTTCATTCTCATTCTTGAAGATCCAATCCTCCCTTTTTAATTCTCCATCTATCAATGCATTTAAGGCTTACATCGTCTACAATATCCATTCCTCATTTAACCAAACTGCCATATACTCTTGTTCCACCAGTTTTTCCCTTCACAGCTTTCATATTTTCTTGAAAAACCCCCCAAATACTTTTAAAAAGAATTGCTTAAAAATTCTGTGATAATAAGGCCACTATGAGTTTGAATTGACTCAAGGGCACCACCAAGTGCAAAACGAGGGCTGAAAACCTACTATTTCGCTTTGCCAGCACTCTATCCCTCCTGAAACAATCAAGGGGGGTTGGGAATAATTAACTGAAATGACAAAATTATAGAGAATTTAAAATATAAAGATGACTACGCAATCAAAGATTACCCAGTATTGGAAAATAAACTAGACCCATGTGTGACATAACAACATCACAAACTACAACGGCACAGCTATATCTCACTGTATCACAAACTACAACATTACAACACCACAACTGTATCACACCATATCACAAACTACAACACTACATCACAGCTGTATCACACCATATCACAAACTACAACATTACAACACCACAGCTGTATCATACTCTGTCAAACTACAAGACCACAACGATATCACACCATATCATAAACTACAACACTACAACACCTCAGCTATATCACACTGTATCACAAGCTACAACACTACTATAATGCTACTAGGAAGAAGAATAAAAGTTATCAAGGTAAACAGGACTTTATACAATTAGTGCAAATAGTATCCTTAAA